ATTCCCACAACGCCAATTTGTTGGGATGTTGATGGCTGACGGAAAAAGACGGGTGACATGGTAGGTAGGAAGGCGGAGGAAGGACAAACTACTCCACGGAGACAAAGAGAAGAGGAACGGTGTTGTCGCGAAGGAGTGACTTATGACACTGAGGAGCAAAGTGTTTGTACTAGGGAAGAGCAAGGGACACGATACTGGAGACGGCGGAGAGAGCGTGGAAGAGAACAAAATCTTCGACCCAGCTGACTAGTGTAGACAGACAACTGCACGAAACTGTAGGCATAGCAGCAAGGAACGGCATTGGCACAGCAATGAGCGCAAATCGACGTTTGCTCACGTTTTGGTATACTCTCCTCCCTTCCTACGTCGCGTGCAGCGGCTCAGTTTTGATTTGTTTTCTACCGTAAACGTCTTCACAGCAATGAGGGTTGCCTCTAGCGGCTACGCCCACATCGTGTATGTCCCTCACAAAGGTGGAGTTGGGTATCTCGAAGAGATGCAAACCATTCCAAATTCCGCTCCATCGGATGTTCCAGCGCCGAGCACAGCTATTGATGTGCAGAGTACTGTCTCGGCATTTGTCGATAAACTGTCAGCACCAGAAACGAACGCCAACACCCTGGACTAGACTAATTCTTACCCTGGCAAGTGCCGTTTCTCACGCCGTTTTGTATGTAGACGATTTCAGTGGTCCAAGCCGATGGCAAAACCCCGGCGCGTGCAGCCTACGGCACAACAATACGCAAGGAATACCGCATCACCGCTCGGCCTGGCAACCCGGTGAAGTGCATACTGGAGGGGGACTTCACCGAGGTGCGGCAAAGAATGCAGTGTATGGGCGTTATTTTGACATTGCGTGAAGGCGTCCACGGACGTCCATCAAAGTATGGATAATGATCAATTGATTTCTCAACCTGGCCGTTGACTGTAAACAAACGTCGAGGGTAGAGCTCGTCAGCACAACCAATGCTCTTCTGGCGGTGTCATGTTATGTGTCGAGCGTCGCAATCCCACCGTTCTTGACGCGATCAATAAGCTTGGTACGGCTTTGTTGGTGGCTGGGTTCGAGTCTACAACACTACCGCTACCATTCGTGAAGAACCCTACAAGGACACGGGCAACCGGGTGCTCAAAATTTCGAATTTTCTGGACAGGACAGTACAAGATCCTTGCCATGGGCCCTGCATCTGCCGAGGGCACGCCAGCTTGGCCTGCAGCTGGAGAGCATCCTGCACATTTTTTAATTTCGCCAATCCTATCCATTATGAATTGCAAACCTTGCCATGATGAGGTGTGGTACATGATGGTCGGGATGTCCCACGCAAAATGCACTCTCCGACAGATTTGGATACCAAGCGCAACACTGGTGGTAAGCACGGCTTAGTTCATTCCGGGGCTTCGCAAACATGTCGTGCCGCTTGGGCCAGCATGAACCATCAAAAGCACGTAGAAGCAGTGACTTGATCAAGACCGCTGTTCTACCATCTCAGCATCCTGTATTTGAGGCTTCCTACAGTTGGTACTCACCTACGCCTACGCCAGACCGAAAGGGCCAGCCAATACCTCGAAGCGCGGCATAAATGTTTTTCCGTGGTTTCTCCGACCCCGCCTCCCCCTATTTCAACATGTGCCAAGGGATTGACCCTATCACGCCCCTGTGGGGTACCCAAGTTCACCGTCAAGCTTCTCGACGCCAGTGAGAATGCATGCCCTGTGCAAGATTTGAAGTCGGTGAGTTTATCATGCAAGACGCCCGAGACGTTCGACATCGAGCTACGTGGGGTTGGCGGTTCGACAGACTACTCCCCGAGACGGGAAGGTGACGTCACTTCGCTGACGTACAACAATGTAAGTGACAGATCGTCTTTGTTAACATTTCTCATTTCGCTTGCCAGTGTGTCCATGGCCGTGGTGGTGTTAGTTTAGATGCTCTTCCTTTACAAGGGAGCGGCCGCTGCTGTAGGAGTGTCGTGTACGGGGGGAAACGGATACGAGTTGGAAGTGGGGGCCCTGCGTCCCGTAGACTTCACCGTACATGTCAACGGTAATCGGGACGTTTGTATGTGTAAGTCAGCAACCCTTTACTTGACTAATGTGAACTGATCCGCCTCGTTTTTGTTTCCCACGCAGCATTCGTGGGAGCTCCTGCCAACAAGGAAGGGAATGCTGTCTGCTACAAAATACACCACTAAACGAATCCACTTCGAGATAAGGGTTGTGGTCGACAAGATCCCGCAAGATTTGAAAGGCGATTTCTCACTAGTTTTTAAGGTATGCAGACGAGATCAAAGCAGTACCGAGAAAGGGAACGTCCTCAGGTCCTGATTGCGACCTTGACGTTTCCACCTGAATCATTCTCTGCCGTGGGGTACGGAAATTGAAGGAATGCGGAAAACATTCGTCGGTCACCTTTTGTTTGAGGTATTGATCCACATTCCATCTTGGTACTTACCTTTGCGCCCACGTATGATACACGTATGCCCCTCTTCGCCACCTTTTCATCGAGTCATCCATGTGCGTCCAGACGCCACTCTGCCAATGCGTTGCCAATAGTGAAAAAGCCCATGGATCCGTTTCGAGTGCTCTCTACTGGTATTTCTTTTGGCCTCGCACCAACACGTGAGACCAGTAGGCGCGCTTTTCTCGCATGCTATGCTTTCGGTGGACTCACCCAAAGTTCGTGGTTATCTAGTCTTCACGCCGTGCTCCTATGAAATCACAGCCAGGGGAGCCGGCGACGCTGGAGCTGCTCTCCCCGAGGCCAACCGCAGCTGGAACCCCGTTGGCTTCCGTGGAGGCCGGGAGCAGCCTACCCGTCGACCTTAAACTGGGTGTCTTTGACAGTTGGGGGAACCAGACCAAGCCGTGTGACGACGAGCAATGGGAGGTGCGCTGAAGCAACATCAACTATGATGGATATGTTTCTAAGGTTAGGAATTCATCGTGGTAGCATGGCGGCAGCATCGAACAAGGCTTGAAACACAACATGACCCTTCAGCAAAGGTATCGTCGTCTAGGCGCATTGCAGCACAATACTGGGACTACCACAGAGCTCGGTCACATATGGTTCCCCGTGGGTTAGAATATCTGTGAAACGGAACGTCTTGCTATTTGGAATCCAAACCCTTGTCACCGTGAGTGTGAGGGAGTTGACTGCTGAATTCCTCGAGGGTGCAACGTTAGCATGCAACGCGCGGGGAAAGGTGGAAACCTTCTCCTGTTTGACAGTGGCCGGGTGGTCACACATGAATATGCCTATAAAATGTAGACTGACCCAGAATACACGGCATTTGACGAGTTCCAAAAAATGACTATTACGGGGTATTCACACCGGCAAGTATCCAGGATAAACGTACTACCTGCATCGATCGTGACCGGCGGCTCCACTTCGCCTGATTCCTCGAAAAACGTGTCGTCGAATATTGGTTGGATACCGCTGCCCGTTCGGAACCTGTATCCGTTTAGCTGAGTTCCAAGAGCACCCTTCACCACAAACACGTTCCTGACCGTCAGTGGCAGGGAGAGGCAAACGAGTCGTAAGCATTGAGCACAGAGGACTCCCCTCAGCTACAAAGCTCAATGGACTGTAATCAATTCAAAGTTGTAAAAACATCCTACTCGGTTTCTCGCCGGGAATCCCCTACCGCGTGCTGCTGCTGCTGATCCCGACCCCAAGCTTGACCTCCAGATCGCCACCGCGAAAGACAGCCCTTCGAACCTCGAACAGCCCAGGTTCCCTGGACCGATGAACGTGAGCGTAGTCTCGGCAACGACTACTTTTCCCACACCCGTGGTGGAGTGGAACAAGCGCTTGCTTAAAAACGGGGAAGCGGCGGAAATCACGGCCACGCTTCAAGCTGGCAACAAAGACTGTGAGATGTGTTGAAGGAAGTAACAAGGACCGTGGCGTCCGCCTGTTCGCCCGAGGGTTCATGTGCGTGGCGCATGCAAGGCTACGCGCCGTACTGGTGCAACTGCCAACGACCGCGCACCCTTCTCCATGTCTACACTCTCATCTCGAGTCCAATCTGTTCAAGGCGAACCTCGCGATGCAATATGTTCCCCCTTTTGACACTTCAGTGGCGTCGAGACCCTTCAAAATCAACATTACGCCCACCAAGAGGCCCTTCAGCGTCAGGGTCTTGCTAGGCAACAGACACTGGAATTCCCTGGAGACGTTTGAGGCGGGGGAAAAAATACGAAACCTAAACCTCCAGTTGCTCGACCAAAGGGGTCATCAAGTGACCGACTACAACACGTGCAAGGTATGCACTGGATGGAGCCACTGAGTTAAGGGTGCGGATGGGTGAGCATGATGGGGAGGTTATGTAATTTTTCTGCGTAGCGTTGTTGCACGGCAGAATGCCTCCAGCCGTTTTTTTTTTTTCCCCTCGCCATTCGACCGGGGGCTTACAACTATGAAGGCTGTTTCCTCGGTTTCCGCCTACGGGCCGACGCTTGTGGTCATGCTGCCAGTATGTCACCTCTCCGTTCCCCCCCGAGAGAGCAATGAGCGATAGCGTCGGGTCGCCATGCCTCCTACGCTCTTACCCTCCGTGACCGCCGTCCGTATGCGAGGGAAGAACGTGACCTGCTCCTGGAACAACTCCAAATGGCGGTGGCAGGACAATCGCGATGGTGGGCTCCCCGACTTGGAGGTGCACACTCACGTGTAGCTTTTGCCTTGGTGAATTCAGATCCGTGGTAATGTGCGCCAAACGGGTTACAGCCTATTCTGCTTGTCCCGTTCCTGATGCTGTACTCTCCTTTCCCATGTTTCAGGTGTCGATATATTTGCGCCACCGCTTTCTTGCGGCACATAAAGAGAGCTGTAGGGGCTATGTTCCTTCGAACGTGGGCCGCACGGTCTACATGAACTGGAGGTCTGGTTCCAGCCTCCCCCGGACATGATTCCTTGCTCGACATCTGTCTATTGTTTCGACGAAATGCAGGTGATCCACATACCATCTGCGGATAGGTGGCCCGGTACTGTGACCGTCATGACGAATGGGATCGGCGAGCGGGGGCTGCAGACCACAGTGGAGTATGCCGTGGTTCCAGGTATGCTATTTTTCTCTATTAGGACGTGTTGCTTGGTGCCCCCCGCATCGACCCCAAGACCTGAACGTGTCACGGCATTCCTCTACATCGTCTGTTTGCGCAAACACAAAGGTTGAACTTTTTTCTACCAGGACAATTTTCCCGTTGGGTGGCGGTGAGAGGCCACACAAACGAGATTTTGGGAAACCTGGGGGTGGTCGAGATGACGGCAGGCTCCAGTTCAAAGACCTGTTTGGAATCGATCGCCAAGGTAAGAACAATCGATGAACCGACCTGTGTTCGTGCGTCAGATTTACCTAGGTATGGGCGGACCCCATCAGCCACCCATACGACATCATTGGTACAGCGTTTGATCAATGTGATCCACACCTATTCAATATTCCCATTCTAAATTCTGCCGAGCTGTTTATCCCAACCATACCTTAGACTCTTACATACATAACATTAGGAAAAAATAATGCTATTATTCGCACTTGTTTCCACACCGTATGGCGATGCTATCGTAAACATGGGGCCGGCCATCGAACGTTCTTTATATCAGAGCACCTATTTGAAATTCAGTAATTGTACTGTTCGTTGCCACTCTCGAAATATTGACCACGTCAAAGCCGTACGACGAGAAAATATCTATTCACAAAATTCGCAAACAACGTTCCGGCCGTAGCCCCGTCCAGCATGACGCTTTCGGATTACCCTCGGCAGGTGGTGACCGGATTTCAACCCGTGGACAAGTACGACAACAAGATAAAGATATCGTCGATTTCTGAGCATCCGGAAGTCGGCATTGAGGGCGATGATCAATCGACGATACGTGAGAGATGTATATTGTCCATGTAGCAAACCCCGTCATGGCACACTTTCATGTTGGGTTACTTTTTTTATCCGAGTACTATTGACAACCCTGATTCCAATAGACCTCGGACAAGTAGGCTGCCAAGAATGAGAGGAGTCACCCACTCAAGCCCGTCTTCCTCTGGCCCCCGTGACTGCACCAACGCCTCGCTTTAACCTAAACGCATATCAGAGCTGGTACAGCAAGCAAGCGGCCCATTTTGTCTGAAGAAACTCAAGGAGGGGGATTTGTTCAAATTCCCCGCCGGCTTCAACGTTTCTGGTGGACCGGGGAAGGTATCCCTCGTCATCCGCAAACCGCGGACCGTTACCGCTAGTGGAGGTTTGGGTAGCCCGCACAAAGCATCTGCGCTGTACCTACCAGTGCTGTTGAAGGCGGGCCTGCCCGGAAAGGTGCTGATCCGGAGGGAGCTGGACCAGGACGAGTTTTCAGAAAATATCACAATCTCGGAACCAGGAGGGTTCGAGGTGAGCGGTGAACATTGAGGGGTTTGGACGCCGTACCACAACAGCCACTCCATCCCGCCAACATGGGGTTAGAATTCGCAATTTCGAAGGGATGCACCGTTCCTGGGTTGGCAACATTTCGACGTCCGCTCGGCTCTCAGACCTATTCCCCGGAAACAGCTCTTGGACGAAACTCGACAGTCTCGGACTCACACGTCTCACGAGAAAAAGGGGCGGCCTGCTCCTCGGTCTTTAAGCACTCCAACTGTTACCCTCACGATCGTCGCAATATGTACCACAATATGTCGCACGTTTGGGCTAGACCATTGTCGTACGATTGGCCTCAACTTTATGTTGGAACCTAAATATTTGGTTTGAAGGGATATCGTCTATCCCAAGAACCTCCAACGAGAGTGCCGCCGGGATTAAGATAGGTAGTATTCGTTCACAACGTCTGTTGTTCCTGGTCTCTCTCTACCGCAGGTGTAGGGTAAGCTTCGGGAGTGTACCGCAAATGTCGTTCTCGATCTCCACTTGTTCATGATTTGTCCTGGCGAGAGTACAGAACAACTTCTGAAGACGCATTTCGTAGGCTGGGAGCGACCGGCCACATGTTCCCTTCGGAGAGAACTACAGGAGTGCGCGAGGTTCTTGCCGGGATATGGCGCCAGTCACTAGGGCGAATTGAATACAGTATACCTCGACCACTAACCCCGATACCCGTGCACCACCTATATCAGATATCCGACCTCGAGGTCAGGCTGGAAGACGCTGCGGGAAACCGGGCGTCGTTGACTCCCGGAGGTGTCAAGGTCCAAGTGGCTGACACGCGTCACCAGAGACTCCTTGCGGAGTGCAAGACTGCGGACTCCTCCTTTACCATGCCGATGTTTACGTTGCCCCACGAGGAACGCAGGGAGAGTGTGACGTTACAGGTTCGCGTTGAAGCGGAATGCCTGGGACGTGTTCAGCAGGTACGTATGTGAGAGGATTTCGTCGAAGTACCTCCGGAGTACTAGAAACTATGTATATATGTAACATTAATAACTCACATTGTCTGGCACTCCCGGCGGTCCACGGTCAACTTAGCGCTGCCTATGCCGCCCGTCGACCTGTCGTATGTTTTCTTCCAGGCATTCATTGAATGGAACAGGGAAAAGACGAATGCAGTCACGCACGTGCACATGGCCGCGTATTCCCCGGGACTTGCTTTCGAATGCGAGAAAGGCATGGATGACAACTATGCGGTTGAAGTTGAGAGGCGGGTGGACAGCCCGCTGCCGACGCTCCTCGTCTGGGTGGACACGGAAAACAACATCGGGTTCTTGCCCTCGGCTGAGAGTTTCGTCATCACGATGACCAAAGAGGGGTCTCCGATGTGAGAAGGATAGCTGGGATATTCTGCCGTGGGTTCTGATGCTGTATGACAAGTCCGAGCGAAGTAGTGCGCACCGATCACCACGTTCTTCAGGCGTTGTGACAGGACGCGATGTATTTACCTTGGCCGACATCGCACACACGAAAACCAGTGTCCCGAACCAAATCGCATGTCCCAGAGAGAAGAGGTTGGCCGGTTCGGAACCTTGAGCGCTATTTTTACCTCATGCATACGGTTCCTTGCGTTCTCTACTTGTTAAGGCCGTGTCTTGACCAGTACAAGAAGCCGGTTCGGCCTGACGTAGAGACTGAATCCAATGCTTGGATGTTTGAGCCCCAAGCACCTCGGGCCGGGTCCGCTATGACCCTCAACGTCGGGACCTACACCATCAGGCGAGTGAAAATGAATTGCAGAGACGCTATGCTCCGACGTGGGGGGTCGTAGTACCCCATATCCGCTATTGCTGTCCCCATAATAAAGCAGAAGGAATGGAAACGCTATTAGGATATCGTGCAATAAGTATTTTCTTGCGAACCTTGGTAAGCCAGCTTGAGTCAAGGCCGATTTCGGCACATTGGCAATTGATTGGTGCATACCGGTGCTCATCTCTATCGAGGGTGAAAAAATCGCGATCGGGAGTCAGGGCAATTCAGTTGTTAATCCACGTGAGGGTTGGGCAGTGGGTACATAAGACAATATGACGCACGATCTTCATAAAGCGCATGAAAGCATATTCTTGCAGTGTTTTCTCACGACATGGGGGCGTATGGGATCGGCACTATCGGACGTTTGCTTTGGCTTCTCTCGTCCCGCTTGTGCTTTTCTTTGGCACTCGTTCTCGTCGATCTCTCATATTCGGCCCACCGTTGGGCAGTATGGCTCGTAGTGCCTTTACGTGTCGTGTCGTGCCAGATCGGACCGACAACGAGCTGATTATAATGCATTGAAATTGAGATCCCGTTCCATGGTTGTGTTTACCAGCCTTTTGTTGGGCCGTGCCTGATATTCGTTGCAACGGTTGACATTCTCCGATGCGTCCACATGTGCGTTGTTTTGCCTGGCTTCGCGTGCCGAGATCGGGCGATGGGATCGATGTATCTCTCTTGTTCCTGTGTTTTCTGGAAATATTTTTTGTGCATGTACCTTGTTAGATAGTTAATACGCGACCACTGAAGGGGGCCGTGTCAGTCGAACCAGGGAAGGTGTTAACAAATAACACTGAGCAGAGGTCGACATGGGTGTTAATGCGCAGTCAATTTGATAACGGCATCCGATCTTTTTAAATTTTGTTTGCAAAGGCTCCTCAATACACGGGTAAGATCTGTTTTATAGATCGATGTTTCGCGAGAGCTTCCTATGTTCATATGTGTATGATATGTCATGATAATATCTCATCTATCAACACGTACAGATGCAGCTATGAGGAGAAACGATACGAGCAGCCACACTCGACGGAGGAGGTGGAGATGATCATGCGAGCCGTGCCAGGTGGCCTAACGGTGTTATGGACTCGCGGCAGAGATGAAATACAAAATATTGGGCCGTTGATATGATTATCATTTCGTGGAACAGCCTGGATAGTTAGGTATCCGCCGATTTGTTTCTGGGGTATCGATGTATCGGCTTGGACCATTATAGAATCGAGTGGTTGGACCGCTTGGCTCCTTGTTTGATGGCTTGATACTTTGCACGTGTCAGCCTACACAACATAGATTGGACCAGCCGTGAAACCCGTCCAATGAATCCTCTCGAGTTTTCCTAGGTCCGTATCACGCGTCGGCTGCGCCCATAACAGCGGGTTTCCTCGAGACCCTCCGTCACTTGACATGGCGTTGTGTTTTGCATCGTTTACGTAGGCGCTCGATGTACCTGCAGCAGCAACCGTAACGTTATTTTCCAGCTGTTATTTACCCCTCGTCTCCCCGTGTACTCATTTCAGGTGACCCATCAACGCTGAAGCCCACGCGGGACCCCTTCCCGGAATCTCTTTCTGCCAGCAACGCACACGACGTCGGGGCGCACCGGCGGTTGTTGGAGAACTTCGAAATCCGCGTCGTTGACCGCAAGGACAACGTCGTTGGCGAGAGCTTCAAGTGAGTCCGCTACCGTGATACTGCTGTTGGTATATTTTCTGGGTGCTGATATTTCTGCTGGTCATATCTGATGTAATACTAATCAACGCTTCCGTTCCGTCTTCCGCTGAACCCAAATCAGCGGGCCCGTACGCATGCAAATAAAAGCCTCGGACGGACTACTTGTCGCACCGTCGGACATGCCCCAGCTGGAAAACGCCTCCAATGGTATTCTTACGGCCGAGCGCATCGGTGCGGGGGGTTTCAGGTTTAAAGATGTCTCGCTACAGGCCGGGGTCGGGTCGACGGAGGGCACATACAGGTGGGTGATTGTTCGGTGGGAGTCTCTTCGAATGTTGTCCTTGTATTGACAACACAAATAATGTTTATTGTGCACAGAAGAATTCCCAGATCTCCGTGTGTATATTTGCGTTCTCGTTGCGCCGCCCTGGAGACGTGTTGGTCCGGATCTCTTGGTCCGGTTTTCTGGGGTTCGTCAGAGAGCAAGGTCTCACGGAGTTCTCATTCTGCTGCCTCGCGGCTCTTGCAGCAAGATTTTGATAGGCACGTGTCCACTGGACCCAACGGCCACGTGATGAGGAAGACACAGCATGTAACATGCGCCTCGGAGGGCCACACGGCAAGAGAAGGGCAGCAGCTAGCTATATCGAAGTTCGGACGATAGCTAGCAATCATGTCTTAGCTTTCTCCCGCCCACCCACCCCTTTATTTCGAAGGTGGGGGATCCGAGAGACGTCACGAGTGAGGGCCAACCTGAGGCCCCCAAAATATTTTCGGTGACTCGGGGTTGGAGCCACCTTTGCTATGTAGAAAGTATGCTAGCATGGGGTGTTTTTTGAATGGTAGTGCGTGCCATCGGGAGGCTCAATCGTCCGAGACTGCTACTGTACAACAGTTTCGTCCCGCCTGGCGGTATTCGGAGGGAGATTTGTGTTTCGTAGCAGAGACACTTTACGATACCGCGGAGGCTTTGCGCCGTGCGGGACGAGCGGTATGGGGGAAGTCTCCCTCCGTAGGCCACAGAAAATATTTATCCAGGCAACTCGAACGAAAAACAAAAACGTGATGGTATACGCCATGTTTTCGTGTTGTGAGAGATCGCTGACTTCCCAAAATAGGTTGATTATCTGACAAGCAAGCGTGGTCTGTTCAGTGCTTTGCTCTTCAAAGTTCAGTAAAATAAAGTCGGGACGCATACGTGTTTCCACACGTGCGGTGTTCCTGAGGATATACACCTGTCATGCGCACAAAAATGGTTTAATCATCAAACGCTTTTCTGGTTCCTCCACCCCATCGCTGCAGGCTGGTCGTGCACAGCGAGGGTCCCCTACAGCTGCAAATGAGGAGTATCAACTTCTTGTTTACCTCGCGAGAGAAGCTGCTGGAGGACATCCGGAATGCAGAAGAAGATCTCGCTCGTGTGCAAGTTAGATACGACGAATACACCAAGAGCCTATCTGTGCGTACTCGAAACTGCCGGTATCTCCACGGAAACTGTCTTTTTTTTTCCGAGCAAAAGAGAAGTAGAACATTAGTGCGGAGCTGCAAGGTTGAGCATCTCTGGTGGCGGGGGCTCTTGTTCGTACTCTTGCCCTCGTTTCCGTGCTTTCTCTGGCTAAACGCGTTCTTCTTACTTGTGCCTCCCCAACGAACCCCCCGACATGCCCAGGGTCCTGAGACAGCCAAGAACGAGGCGTGTCGTCGCGTCGCAGCAATGATCAAGGAGTTACCACCAGATTCGATCGCAAAGATAGGCTATGCTGATACTGACTACGCGGTAGGTGTACAACAACGGTTTTAGGCTAGCTTTTTCGAACATCACTTTTTTGTGTGTTCTTGTCGCCAGTGCTGGTCACTGTTAACTGCGTACTGCATTGGATGAGGTCTGCCACCCCGATCTGTCACTGCGCTGAGCGCGAGAAGACCCTAGCGATATGCCCTGTATGCAATCACCCGAAAACTCTATGCGTACAGCAACAATCTTACAGCAGTGAGTTGGGTGGTGGGGCGGTCTTCGTTCAACGTGTTTTTCGGCTTCTGGGGGATGCCTCCAAGGCATGTTAAAGCCAACCACGCAACAAGAGAACTAAACGTAGCAACGTCGAAGCCGAAGCCAAGTTCGTGAGAGAAACCAGCTATGCCTTCGATGGAAATTCGTATAAACGTGTCATATCATCTAAGTTTGATCCTTGCCGCAACAATCTACACAATCTAAACCGAAAGACGGCACCGTGAGTATTAACATTTGTTTTCATAACGCACGCAATTCCGAAAGGAGGGCAATCTGTCCCGCAAATATAGCTCAACATCGGCCCACGGCGCAAGTGGATGAGAGCACCGGGCAGCTGTTGAGCCCCCGCCGGGGGTTCACTTCATGAGTACCATTCAGCAGTATCAGCCCATAACAACGGAAATCCCTGTCGCCCAGGATTGCTTCAAACGTGCCTGGAAGAGGCGGGAAGACCTGAAAACAATGACCAGGAAGCAAGAGGTCGACTACGAGGAGATGAAGGAGACTCACCCCTCGTATAAGCGCGATAACAAAACTCACAGCACTATCAAGAAGATCATTCAAAAGCACGGCGCGAGGGAACACGACATTCGGTGCATCGCGGAAATCGGGTGAGACAAACACAGCGATTCACGCTAACACGGGCGAACCTGGGTCAGTCGATCTACTAGGGTGAGTAAGGAGACAGATGCAAATGACCCTGGGTGAAAACCTTCGAATTGTTATCGCCGAAAACATACTTCGGAGCATCCCGAAGTGCCCCCCCCCACACACGAGAGAAGTCAGCAATTTAGACCACTTTTGTAGAAACTAGGTGGTCATGCCGAGCCTTTTGGGAGCTAGAGATAGTAGCGCACAGGGAAGGAGTCAGGAGAACACATAGAACGTTTCTAGCTAATGGTTTGCCCGCTGAGGAGCTCTTAAAGGCTTCGGGGTTGACAGGGTCGGCAATGTAGTCGCTGTCTACAACAAACAAGGAACGGCTCAAGATGCCATCCTCGGTATAATATGCATATGACAAACAACGGCCGAACCTGCACCATCCTGAAAGGTAGGTACCACGCTTGGCTGTAGGCAACGTCTGCTTGGTGAAGCTTGCATACGCGATGAAACGCCACGTCTTTTACTGTGCTTCCCACATGTCCGACTCGTTTTTTCTTTGGTATTCGCAAAGGTTTGTGAGGACAAGGTATCATGCACAGCTCCTCTCGCACACGGCTGGCACGATGATGAAAGGAGTTTACGTCCTCAACAAGGACCAGCTAACCACTTTGCGGGAGGAGGAAGGCTGCGGCATATGCAAGGAGGTGCGATGTGTATTGCTATATTGTGGTGCTCTTGTCCATTGGCCTCTGAGATTTGTAGAATCACTGTTGCCACCCCGTGTTCCGTGTGGTGTCCGGACAGCCGTGTTTCGCGGCTGGCTGCGGACCGTCCAATAGTCACCGGTATTGAAAAAAAATACCGGCTTGGCAAACGTTTACTGCCGCTTTCATGCCCTCTGTTCATGGTCTCTCGCGCGGTTCTCAGACTGTCCAAGCGTTCGGGCGGGGTTCGTCTCACATGGCTAATACGCGGCAGCCGCCGCCATACACGGGATGCAAAGGCTACGTAGTGGACATGTTTGAGGCAAGGCCGGGGTGTGGTATAGACACTTTTCTCGATTTGCTCAAACTTGACGTGCTACGTAGTACTCAGGAAAGTGTTGCCTGTACGCTCTGTAGTGCTTGAAGTCGAAGCCCTTATCTGGACCCTTGCTTCCAAGGGTCAGATTACACGTCACAACAGGATATGTGGTGCTGGCGGTCGAACCAAAAAGTTGTACACCTATTCTGAGATTTCTTATCTGGGGAAGAATTTCTTGTGAGCGCCTGCACTGGAAGCGATCCGAAGATACTTGTGTGAACACACCCATCAATCTTGCGGTCCTTCAACTTACCGCCACAGCTGAAGGATGAAGATGAAGGCCTGCGAGGCACGCTTTTCTGGGCCCTCTATGGAGACATGGTGATGTTCGACACCTATGCCAATGCCATTAAGTACCAGGACGGCTTGAATCGTGGAGACAAGCGACGTGATATCCTCGTCGAAGAGGACGGTACATTGCTGGTGAGCACCACATTTGTTCGTATGTTCACCTGCTCTTTTGCAGCTGAAAGGCTACGGGGACCTCGATAGCGGCCGGTCGCACACGTGCGCTGGAAATAAGGAGATCGGCGTTGCACAGACCGAAGGCTACAACCCCTTGTGCAAACCGAGGAAAAATTAGTCCTTCTGCGTCCTGGATATAAACTCGTGGATGTTGGTGGTGGGGTCCAAAACAGGCAGTGGCTAGGGAAAGGGCGTCTATAGGTTCTACCTCTCGACTCTCGACGCCAGCGGGAAAAATAGGCGGCACCTGTTGATATCCGGGGTAACTGGTATTTCCATGTTACCCCACCATTCTCCGCTATTTACACGGAGATATCATCCAGGAATCTATGATATATGTACCATGGCCTCTTGTGTTCTTTACCCTCTTCGACAGAAGCAAGCAATCGTAGACGAACACGAATACACGGATATATAATTGAACACCGCTTTTCTGGATAACCTAAAGCAATTCAACAAGATTTTTCCTGACATTGATCGCGCGCCTGCAGAGGCGAAACGGGTACATGGACGTCCCCAAAGGCACAGAAGGTCTCAAGAAGCTTCCGATCGTGTTCGGCCCCATGCCGTTAGACCACAAGCCCGAGCGTAGGCAGCTCACGCAAGAGATCGAGCAGCTGGTGAGACGAGAACGTTACTGTCGGTATTGATTGAGATTCTTCACGTTACGATCAGAGTCGGGGGTAACGGGAGGAGACATTGTGGTGGTTTGGTGCGCGAGTAGCCAACGCGATGTCGTTGTCCACTCGTACTTTGTCGTGGTTTCTTCGCAAGCGTGTTAGCGGCACCTATCTTGTCTCCATCGACGCAACTCACCCCCCGACAACGCTCGCTCTCGGTTTGCAAAATATTGCCGTTCTCGTCGTGTCTTGCTAGGTCCATGTCGTGGCAACACTCAAGGGTCTTGCTGGCGCGAATGCCGAAGTTGCCAGAATTAGGAACACATTCAACCCCAACGATGGCTTGGAGAACGAGTACCAGACAGCGAGAGAATGCCTTCAAAAATTGTCGAACTTACGACGGGTGAGACACAGGGATGCATAGAAGATCGAAACATGTTGCATCGGAAGTGCAATGTCTGGTGGACGCGGTGACGAAAGGTGCTCTTCCTGTGACCTACGTGGCGTAGTGAAGCTCCACGGCGTCGGGACGTCTCGGGGGTGGGGTGAGGGAAGGAAAATCAAACGCTGGGCGAAAGGCGACAACAAGTGTACTTACTCCACGCGTGGGTACTTTGTGAAACCCGGAGTGCAGGAGAGCATTCTCCGACGTTGCTAAACATTCTTCGTCGAAACGAAAATGTCGAGGCCCTGCAATGAGTTATAGTGCTGCAGGCAGACTACATGTAGCTTCGGCTGCTTTCTTGGCTGCTTCACCGAGCCAAGTCGGGGTAGGGGGGTAAAAGTAGAAAGGTGTTTCTAGTTCACGTGCGTGCGAAGGTTGCTTCAGAAAGGGTTTGTTGAAGTAGTCTCACATTAGGTCGGATTTCCGACAAGGATCCGTCGGTTCTGCCGCCATTCAGAGCTCAAGGGCGGCACAGTAGTGAGGAATACCCTACTAATACACAGCAGTGCCGCAAAACAAGGGCCTTTGGCACGGGTTCACTCACGTTTCATTTCTCCACAGCATCCATGAGCGGTAGAAGCCCATGTCTCCAGGAAAAGGCTGTGCCGTCTCGGTGATGGCGAAACATTGCGTCGGAGTGTGGGGGGTGGGGGTGACGAACATTAGGGGTTTTACAAGAGAATCATAAAACCGCGACATCGCGACAAGGGGTTGGAGGGCGAGGGGTGGGTGACGAACATTTGAGGGTATGCGGAGATACGGTAGGTCATCTTGGTAATGGTGGTAGTGAATGCGAATGCACAATCTCCGAAGGAGGGGGTGGAGGGTGACTTGTAGCCTTCGCAGATTTTTCGTATTCGGGAAACATGTTGGATGAAGCATACAATCGGGGACGTTGGGTTGGGGGTAGGGTTAGGAAAATAGGGTCTACGTCCCCCCTCCCTGTTCTATTCCCTTTGGAGTCTAATACATTTATTTCCCGCCAAGGCGGTCCAGGGCGACGGGGGTGTCAAGGTTGTTTGGTGAAGATTATGAAGGCCAACTACAGTACATAAACAGAGTAAACCGTAGTCGTAGGTTCAATTAGGTGATGTAATTTGGACAAACGAAAAAAGCGTATCTCGGTGACGGGGTGTAGTAGAGGACGAGGGCGATGTCCGTGCAGTACATGTCATTCAGGTGCCAATTTGCTTCGAAACTAAAACTCACAGTAGCATCGTAAGAACAGTGGTGTCATCTTGTGATGATGCGACAACGCGCCCCCTTGGAACGGGGGTGGGTGGGAGGGGGTGACGAGGTGGGGTTAGATACAAAGGTTGGTGCATACTGAGTCCGTTTTGTTCTGTTGCGCCGCAGATGCACACAGCGAGCAGCGTGCCAGCATGGTGACGGCACCAGTGATGGCTTGTACAGGGCTCTAAGCCTTTCGCCCCATTTCTGAGCTTTTCAAATCAACACGGTCTTCAACCAGCCAAAGTAAGTACGTGGCGCAAAACTGCAGCTGGAACACACCATCTCTCTCTTGTTCATTCACTTTTCAGCCATCGGCTCAGCCTTGCCAGCGTGCGTCCGCTGAATGCACCTGTGTTGCGTGATTGTGAATGCCTTCGCTACAAAACGATTTTGCACGAGTGTCAAAAGCTTACCGGGACAACCTGAAAACGGTTTTGCAAGGTTGCATGGCCTCTCGCGGTCCTTGAACTTGCTTCGCAACCTTCAAATCTCCATCTGTCCAGAACTGCAGCCAATTTAAAACTTCATCTGAATCTGGTGGAGTGACCTCACCAGCAAGCGATGTGGTCTCACTCAGCCCGCGCCCGCTGACTACACCAAATCGAACAGTTTAACCTGCCGGGTGTTATCAACCAGACACGATTGGCAGGAGGAGACTATCTGTATCGCGCAGCAACCAACCGGAACTATCGTGCCTGGCGAGCGTTCATGTCCTTAAGCGTGTACCACTACTGTAAGCAGGTTCTGGCGACCGCCTTCCACTGGGGCGGAACGGCCACCGCGATCCCACTACGATCTTGGCGAATACTGGTAGGTATTGTAGATCGGTTTCAAAGTAAACCTGTGGGCGGTATCGTCATATGAGCGTGGAAAGCCGTCGCGTTTCGCGAGCGGTCTTAGTGGCAATCCTCCCGCGCGTCATGTACGCTGTCACTCATTCATTCCGTCTGTCAATCTTAACTCATGGAGAATCGGCTTTTTGGCGACGTGCCCCACCGCCATCTCGCCAATACATACGGCTGTACGGACAATGCTGTACGGGCAATGGTCTCAACATGTATATCTTTTTATCCGCCAAAATTCTCACCGTATTGGATTGTTTAGGGCGAAAAAACTTCAATCAAAACACACAGCAGGTTATAATTGGGCACACAAAACGCAAAAGCCAATATTAAATCACGACCTACGCGTAAATGACATTACTACCGTAGGACGCCAAATTCTCCTATATGTGGCGAACATAGCATTACCGTAAAAATTCGAAGCCACTTTCATTCTCGGAGTTCCCACGGATCGCAGCTGTCGCGAAAACCCTCGTTCGTCCCATGAGCTTCGTGGGCCCTCTTTCGTGGAGTTCAATTTCTTCGATGATTCATATGAATACCCTCAACTCTGTGTGAGCTGAGGTCCCAATATGGCGAGGTGGTGTATGCCTACCACCGGAGGCAGGCTAGTTTCCTCTATTGAGATGTGACGAGGAATGTCAAGCGGTGACGGAGCGTGCTCGGTCAAGGCAAGGGTAAGGTTGCGAGTGGGCGTTGGCCGAGACCCTTCTTGGCTCTCGGTACCAACTATAAAGATCCACCCCGACTCCTGTCTGAGCAAATAACCCACAGAATAAAGATCCAGAGCAGAGCGGTGAATTATCGCCTGTCGAAGGATCTTTACTCCGTTGTATGTGTGTGTGTGAGAAGACACGAATATCCTGGCTTCCACATCCATACCATTTTGTTTGGGGTCTGCATGTATGTATATCGGCCATCACGAGTTAGGGCTGGTCTTATCCAGATTGGCGGTCCCACACTTCACTCCCACACCAATGGTAGTTAAAATGGGACGCAGCACAGAAGTCCCTGTTTGATTGAGTGAAACGACGACACGACCAACTTTTGTTTTTTCACCCGCAGCTTCAGCAAGCAATAGACTGGGTCAGAACATCCGGACTAACATTTTTTTTTTTTTTAAATACATACCATATAATTAAGGAATACTAAATCCTTTAATTGAATCATAGTTCAGCGAAACGGAACCCAGAGTTCCCAACGGCAACCAAAATTCGGTCTAGTGGAGGAAGATGGCAGAGAGTGCACGACCGATGCGATGGCACCTTCACGCCACGTTGCAACATAGCACGACACACGCTACACCACCAACCCTTGAGCACAAGATGATACCCTCCTCGCATGCTGACGAACAGCACCGGGACAAGTAGCAGCAGCAGCAAGCTGCCACCAGTGCCACAACGATGTAACCGCAGCATATATATATAGACTAGTCTATGCGTGTGTACCCTCGCTTTTTATATGGCTGTGCAACCCTTTCATCGAGTTCGTGCAATAAGGTAGGGTGTTCCCAGCCCGCGCAGCTCTCGAGGGGCTCACTGGCCGTGTCCCTGTCTCTCCACATCGACACACCCAGCTGCCGGCCCGCGCAGTTCTCAAGGAGACCTGGCCGTTGCCCCAACTACCCGTCTCCACACAGTTGCAAGCCAGCACCGCAACACCTCCACAGCCTATTCGTTGTTATGCCGACCACTCAACTCAAACTCTAGGTCTGGTTTTGCTACCAAGCGGTTAGGACCCGCCACCATTTTTATCCCGCACTGTGGATCTTCCTGTTTTAGCTGTTGGTGTGGGTGTGAAGTGTGGGAGCGCCAAAGTAGATAAAACCAGCCCTTCGCTTGAGTCAAACGATGACTTTCGGGACATCTGGGGGGGCGCAGAGACACAGCGCATAGGTTTCGTGCCCATTGGAGGTGTTTCGGAACGTTTTGCACGGTGTCGATAAAACGGCGTATTTACAATACCTCCGAAGTGGTGCAGTGGCCATGTTGGTTCGGTCAAATCACGGCTTATGCTTGTGCGACAGCTGGACGCGGTGGGAACACAACAAAATTGGTTTGGTGGCCATCGGATGCGATTTCAGAGAGTTTCGCGCGGTGGCGAAAAATACGCTCAATTACAACACCGCAGAGGAGTTGCTTGGACACCATCTTGGGGTCACATCTCAGCAACACCTGTGACTATTGGACGAACAAGAGCTTGCGCAACTCCAGTACCAGCTGAAAGCCATCGGAACACAGAGAATGGGGTTTCGAAGCATCGCGGGCGGTGTCCTGAATAGAATTACGAAAGTATTTGAAAGCTGACCAACTGCGCAGGTGCTCCGCTTCGATGTACCACTGGGAACAAGAAGCCGAACGAGTTGAACGACTACGACGAGACAGATAGACAATCCAACAAATCCCAACAAGTGGCGACAGCAAGACAAACGTATGCGTGTGTTACAGATGTTTGTCGTTTAACTTCTCGATGGCCGGAAGACGAGCCCAAACTCACAAATCTTCTAGGCAATGAGACACCTATCGTACAACGAAGAGATCATCAACGCCGACTTTGCATACCCTGATCGCACCTCGAATATTTCGGTCCATACTGCTATGCTATCCGAAATTTGGCAGACCGCTGGAGGAGAAATTCGGAATGTTCAGCCTTCATACCATACATTATGGGTACTCCGTCCACGTTTTCTACTAAACGTTCACGTTCCGGGACCTCCGCAAGCATTTGGAAAACAACAAACAGGGCGCGAGGAAAACGTGGGATCGATAGCCCAACATCTTCGGTCCCGTCAAAGAAATTCTCCGTCAACAGCGGTGGCTGGGCCGTTACCTCTATGACAGCTACTAGTAGCCCCCAACCAAAAATTCTACCAGGACATACTGTTACAGTAGAAGTACCGATCTC